ATTTATTTTGCTCGGCAGGCTGTTTAGATTTATTTTGTTCAGCTGTCTGTTTAGATTTTGATGATTTATTTTTCTTCTTGTTAGGCGAATTGCCACCTGACCCAGGGGCAGAGTTTCTGTGACGTTTTTGAAGCGAGCGTCTTTTCAGATATTGCGAATCAGTTTCGCTAACCTCAGAAAATGGTGTCTCGTCCTCTGAATCTTCACATGAAGATTTCTCGTCCAAATTCATATCTTCTATTATGATAAGAAGAGAAAAGAAAGAAAAAAAAATATATATACCTAAATATTAAAACTACAAAATAAGAATTTATGATCTATTAAAAAGAAGTAAAAAAAAAAATTACAAACTCAGAAACAGAAATAAAACAAAACATTTCTGAGAATAAATAAACAAAGGAAAAAAATTATATAAACTGTCTCTTGGAGAAGAAAAAAAAAGAGTTCTACAAGTCTTTGGTTTCGAACTGAGATCAGCTGACGGAAGCGAGCTAGTATACAAACCTTGGCCGGGAACTTAACGTAAATAAGATAAGAAGCAAGGGAATTAACAGCCACATGGGCTATTCAAACGAGCACTAATTTATCACTTCATTGTTAATAAATTGTAACTCACCTCTTTATCCGTGAACTTAAAAATGTTCAACTCTTTATAATGTCACTGTTAATCAATTATTAACACAGAGTTTTGACTAATAAGCACATAGCAAAGTAATAATCACAGAGCGAACTGAAAACTAAACTGCAGTAGCGGCCATGACACTTACTCTCTATATACAGATTAAACATTATTTTTTATTATGGTCATTCTTTCTTACGTTTTTTGATTAAAATTTACGTTTATTATTCTACTCTATTATTTTCTGCATTGTACAATATACTGTTTAAAAATGTACCCTCTCCTTTAATCTTAACTTCGTTCTATCCCATCCTACTGCTTATCCTTTATTTAATTTCTTTATGTCTAATACCTTAATCTTCTGGCATGTTAACTCCCAATCCCTTTCTGCACATTATGACAAATTTCTTGATTATTTTCACCACAATTTCTACCATATTATTGCTGTATCCGAAACTTTGCTCAAACCTAACATCCCCTCACCATCATGGATCGACCCAGAGGAGGCATCGGTCTGTTCGTTCATGATAGCTTGAGGGCCAAAATCATTTTAAAATCACCTTCTTCTGATATCCCACACATTGAATATCTATTTGTCCAAGTTTCCTCTAGAACCTTCTCCCTACTCTGTTTAAAAATGTCATAATTGCAGGCAATCTTAACACCAACCTCCTTTTAGTCTCTCCGGGCAGAACATACCTCATTGACCTGTTTTTCTCTCTAGACTTATATATTGTACCTTTTCAACCCACCCATCATACCCGGTCCACTGATAAATGGCTAGACTTATTTATCATTGATTCCACTCAAAATCTATTATCCTCCACGCAAAAACCCTGTTTCCTTTCTCTCATTCCATGATCTTATCGAAATCTCATACAATGTTATTATTCCTATCATTGTCCCCAAACAAATTTCCTCGAGAGATCTCGACTCCCTAACCATTGAAAACATCAGACCTTATCTCGATTCCTTATCAGTTTTATTAGAACCAATCTACTCCCTTTCTTTCATCGATGATATGGTGGAACACCTTTCCTCTAACCTTGCTTTCCTTAACCATCACGCTCCCCTTAAAACCCATTCAGAAATAAGAGAGATGATGAAAGGAAGAGAGGCTGCCAGAAGACGATACAAACGTACTACCCTCACACTATACTTTATTCAACTCCCTACGGAATAGTACACAAATATTCTTACGCCAGGCCAAAGCTCAATACTTTAACAACGTACTAACCCAAGCACCTAATCCTAAATTCAAATGGACAATCCTCACTCAGGAAACTCTCTGTCATAAGCTCCAAAACTTGCACACTTTATCCAGTAGATCCGAAAGAACTGAATATCTTTTTTGCAAACCATCTTACTTCTGTATTCACATCTGACCCCATACCTTATGTCATCACTGAAACCTCCTTTTACCCAGATACGTTTTTTTTCTTGATATCTCTCCAACTGACCTACTCTCTACTATCCTTAAATCCAAAACCAACGACTATGGTCCTGACCAAATTCCTATGAAAATCATTAAACTCTGCCTACCAAACTTACTTCCTATACTCCTACACATCTATAATTTTTCCCTCCAAAATTCCATTTTTCTTAAAGTCTGGAAAAAAGTCATTGTCCGGCCGTTGAATAAAGTTCCAGCTCCTTCACTAGCATCCGACTTCGGACCCATTTCCATTTTACCCAATTTATCCAAGTCTCTAGAAAGATTATTTCACTCTCAGTTGAACAACTTTCTAGAGCAAAACTGCCTCCTCAATCCTCTACAATCCGATTTTCGTTCCCAATATTCCACTCAATCTGCCTTATTAAAGATTAGTCAAGACCTCCAATCATCCATAGACAAACAGAAAATCTCCATCCTAGTCCTTTTCAAAAGCCTTCGACTCCGTCAATCATAATATCCTCATTTCCAAAATCCAAAGCCTACCCATATCGAATAGCGTTCTGAAATGGTTCATCTCCTTTTTATCCCATTGCTCCCAGACAGTTGTTATTCCTGACAAATCTCCTTCCTCCTCTCTTCAATTAACACAAGGTGTTCCTCAGGGATCCTCACTCTCTCCAACTCTGTTCTCCATTTATATTAGCGACCTTTCTGACTCCATTAGTCATTCCCACTATCACTTATATGCAGACGATCTACAAATTTACTTATCGTTCCAACCATCTGAGACGCCCGAGGCTATCTGAAAATTACAAGAGGATATTGAGTGTATCCATAAGTTGGTGGAAAAAAATAAACTAAAGCTGAACGCAGACAAAACCAAGGCTCCAAGCACCTCATTAGTTCCCTTTCTTTCTCTCCTTTACTTTACCTAAATAACCGTCCCAACCATTTCTTTCTGACAGTCAAAAACCTTGGAGTGATCATTGATCAGAACCTCTCTTGGAACAACCACATTTCCCAGATTACCTGTAAATCCATAAATATTCTTAAACAATTCCTTCGATTCTGTGATTCCATTCCAAAAAAAACCAGACAGCTCCTTGTAACATCCCTTGTCTTCTCCCACTTCGACTACAGTTGCCTGGTGTACCGTGGGCTTTCTACAGAACTGGAGGCGAGACTGAAGAAAATTATGAATTGCTTCAATAAGATTCATACTTGGGATTTCCAAGCATACATATTTCTTGTTGGTACACCGAGTTGAAGTGGCTATATCCTACTTCCCGACGGCCATTCCTTCTTGGTGTTTTTCTTTTTCAAGTTCTCAGAAGCAAAAACCCTCCCTACGTCTTAGAACTTCTTACTTTACGCTCCTCTATCCACTCTCTTAATACCAGATCTCAACCTATAGATTTATGGGAGGGGATATTCCCATAAAAGTACTTCTTTCAGTAAATCCTTCGTCATTCGTGCTACCTCCTTATGGAACTCCTTACTTAATTGATAGAAGTCATTTCATTTTTATTTATTAATTTTTTCATATCTCAGTATTTTATTGTATATATCTGTGTTTATCATTAGTATGTTTTGTAGATATTTATATTTTCCTTTGTATATGTTTTTTTATATATTTGGTTTTTCCTTAGTATCTTTGTGTGTATATATATGTGCTAACAATTTCCTAGGTATTTTTTATTTATATTTGTATGATACCTACATGTCAGACTATAGTACATATTTTTTAAACTCTACTATTATTCTAAGGGGACTTCAGTCCCAGAATAAAATTATTTTTCATTTCATTTTACTTTGGCTGCTGGAAGCAATGAAGAACTACCTCCATGAGATTCTCTCGTCCCGTCATCATTTCTCCTGGCAAACCCATGGTTTCATCACTCCAGGTTGTGATGTTGACTTCCCACATCTGGGACATTATCATCCTGCAAGAGGATTCCCGTCAGCTGCAGCACTGACGTTAAAACTTGATAGGAAAATACTTTTCGCTGAAGTATGTTATATACATACTCGTATAGAACATATGAATAACGAACTATTGAACATCAAACAAGATCAAGCCGATCAAATGGATCCTAACTCTGAAAGAAATCAAGGCAATAAGATTGAACCCCCTGATAAGGATGAGATGTGTGATGCAATTAAGAAGCTTAGAAAGCATAAGGCACCTGGAATTGATGAAATGCCCCCAGAACGCATTAAGAAAGGAGGTGGATACCTGGTTAAATCCTTACAAAACTTATTTGTGTAAGTGTGGATATCAGTAATAATGCCAAGCTCATGGAAAAAGTCAATACTATGCCCAATCCGTAAGAAAGAGGATGTACTTAATTGTAAAAATTATCAAGGTATATCACTGTTGCCTTGCACGTATAAAATAGTTTCAAACATTTTAGACATGTGATTTCTGCTGTTTATGGAGTGTTTACTGAGAAAATATCGGTGCGGATCCGACAGAGGTAGATCAAAGGTCAATCCGATCTTCTCACTCCATATTATCCTACAACAAAGCAGAGAATATTGCATTCATATGCAAAACCTGTTTGTGGACTTCAAAGCTGCTGAAATTGAGAAGAGAAAAGTCATTGCTAACTGATGTTACTTTGTGCTAGGAAGACATTAAAGGAGTAAGTATCTGTCATGCGTAATATCACGGATGGATGAGGGATGTTTATTGGCTTTTGAGAGAAGAATTCTGCGATGCATTTAACCTGTGCGGAACTAATGTGTAACAAGCATATTTGACTATAGAGTGTTGACTAAGCAGGTAAACATCTCTTTCCAGTAATATTTACCTGATATAGTTTGTAAATAAAGTTTTTTATTCTGTTAAACCCTAAATATGTAAAATTGGTTTATTAGATTAGTATTCTAAAAATAAATAAACAGAAGCTAATCAGCATGTTTATATTATTAAGGTTGTTATTAAGGTCGTCTCACAATAATTAAAACAATAAGATAACTTACCATCTGGACATTCCAAATACTCGATACACTGTTTCACAATTGGAGGTATCACTTCACCTTGATGATTGTCTTTTATAAACTGCAAAGACACACCAAACTGTTGAGTGGGAAGAGGAGGAGGAGGAGCCTTCACCATCCGCCGAGGAGGTTTCCGAAGCTTTGCAAGCAATCTCTCATCATGCCTAAAAATGTTAAAAACCAAGATAAAAAATAATAAAAGGCATGTTTTTATCATTTCATAAAATTTTTGTTCCATTTTGGGAGTGGAGTAGTGTACTGAGCTTCCAATGCTAAAGGTCCCAGGTTCAAATCCCGGCTCATGGCAGAAAAATTATTTGTTCCGTTTTATTGTCTGTGGGGCGATCCTGGGTAGGTAGACCCTACTGGGACAGACCCAGCATCTATAAGGTTCAAATCCCGGCTCATGGCAGAAAAATTATTTGTTCTGTTTTATTGTCTGTGGGGCGATCCTGGGTAGGTAGACCCTACTGGGACAGACCCAGCATCTATAAAGTGGGCACACTTAATTAAAATAATTAATTAAGGGAAAAAACCCGGCGGTTGAGCATGATCTCGGTCAAATCACCTCCTTGCCGTAAACCACCTCAAATCTTACAACCGTAGACCAAGAAACAGAGCTTTCCCTAAATAGTACTGACCCAAGATCATTCATGAGTTATAATGGTACAGATACAGATACAATAAACAGTTTCCATACAATTTTTAATCTCTTATTTTTTTTATGAGCCACGCCTCAAATTGGACCATGCACATCCAAAAAGGTTAATGAGAGGCATTACTAGAAACAGCTTCTCTAATTAGGTCCTACAATTTCTCGGTCTAATCTCTTTTTATTTTTATCCCACTACAATACATCTATGTTTATATTAAAAATAGTGTATATATTAATTGATTATAAAGAAATATAATTATAAGAAGAAATAATAAATCTGTAGTTAGGGTAAAGAAAATAGTCCACTGAGCAGCTCAAAAATCACACTGAGAGCACTCGGCAGGCTGGTGAACTATGATTACCCCAACTACCTCTCAATACACTTCTCAGTGAATCTCAACACATCTCACCTTTTTATTTCTTTATGATCTATGAATAGATTTTTTTTAACCTATATTTACAACAATAACAAAATTCTCCTAACCAAGCTTAAAAATATCTCCTTTTCAACTAGTACTCTTAATTGGTTCCAATCCTTCCTTACCGGCCCGCTCCCAATATGTGGTAGTCCCCAATAACCCATCCCCATCAGAAACTTTGCCCTTGACCAGAGGTTTCCCACAAGGCTCCTCCTTATCTCCCATCCTTTTTTCCATCTACATCAATGACCTTGCATCCTCTATCCTACACTGTCAATCACATCGGTATGCCGACAACATCCAGATTTACCTCTCCTTCAATCTGACCAAATCCTCTGACGCTATCCAAAAATTACAGGAAAATGTAGACAGAATTTGTGACTGGGCAAACCACAATAGAATCACTCTAAACTCCGAGAAGACGAAAGCCATCCTGATCGGAGCTCCTTCACTCCTCAAATCCTTACCAACACTCCCCAATCTTTTCCTGAACAACTCGCCTATCTCATTCCATACTTCCATAAAAAACCTTGGTGTTACCTTTGATCAAACTCTCTTCTGGAAACCACACATCCCCCAAATTTCCTATTGTACTATCTCTACCCTGAAACAGTTTAACTGTCTCCGATATCTACTTCCATATAAATCCCGACAACTTCTGGTTTCCTCCCTTGTGTTCTCCCACTTCGACTATGGCTGTCTGGTGTACGGCGGACTCTCGGGAGAATTCGAGGCTGAAGTTAAATGCCTGATGAACTGCACAATACGTTTTGTTTTCGAAATCTCAAGAGATACGCATATAAACCAGAATTACACCAAGTTGAAGTGGCTCTATCCATCCAACCGCCGTCTGTACTTCCTTGCTACCTTTCTATACCAAGCTATCAGAACTCAGCGACCTTCCAATATTTTTCACAGCCTACAATTTAAATATTCCATAGTAAACACCCTGGCTTATCAGGGACCTTTTTCGACATTACCCTTGAAGCATCGATGGGAGATACTTTCAGATCTCTTACGGCCAAAGTTGAGGGACTTCAGGTAAATTATGAAGGAAATGAAATCAGGAGGGTGACCACAGCTGAGGCTAGAGCTGTTGCCTCACCTTCACAAAACCTTAAAGAGACAGGCCCAATAACAGACTTGGACAATCCAAAAATTCAGATGGTAGGCGTTGGTCTTGCTTTGAAAGAAGCAATCCCTGCCACACTGAAACAAACTAAAACAATGAGAAGGCGGCAAAGGAGAAACAGAATGGCTGCCAAAATCATTCTAAAAACACATACGGAAGCGAGACCTACATTAGGGCACTCGGCTAAGGATGCAAGGGTCATCCCAGACCCTGCAGACAAGGCTGAGGAGTCCGACATGAGGGTCTCTGCTCCCAGAACGCAACTTGACACCAAGGATTCTAGCGGAGGAAGGGAAGCTAAAGCTGTAAGGGCCAATAATGGACCGGCGACCAAGGCTGAACTGCCCGCTGCAAAGGCTCCAACAAAACACTTAACCCAGATGGGGTCGACCTCTGGGCCACCAGCTAAAGACGTAGAGGTCTCTCGAGACTCTACGCCCAAGGCTGTGGAGGCCCGGGCGCCAGCCTCAATGACGGGAAAAAGGCAAAGAACCTCACTGAGAACCTCGGCACCTATTGCCAAGAAACCCAGAGAAGCAGCAAACAGAAGTTATGCCTAAGCCTTGAGAGGTCAGCTGGTTGCGGTGGTTCCCACAAACTATCCGCAAGCCATGCTCGACCGCGAACAGGTTGAGGCACTGAAAGAACTCATCGCTGAAAAGGTGGATGAGCTGGACGAACAAGGACAATACGACCCACTTTTTGATGCTGTTAGTTACAAGATGGGTGGAGGAATTGTCACATGCATGAACATGGCATGCACATGGCTGGAAAAAATCATCCCAAGCATCAACCTGGTGGAGGGTATTACCCTTCGCACGGGGGATGCACAGGAACTAACAAAAACCTTGAAGATTGGTGCCTTCTTTCCGGGGAAGGTGCTTACCGAGGAGGCCCTAATGAAAAGGCTGATAACACAGAATACCACTATTGAAGGAGTGAATGTGTGGTATCTGCACTATCTCAAAGAGATGGACAAGGGATTCTTCGCCATAGTTAGGATCCCTGACTCCAGCTTGGAAAGCCTTAAAAAACACGACATGAAGGCTGGCTATGGATGGTGCCGAGTTACTTTCAAAGTACTTAAAGATCATAACAAGGAAGAATCCTCAATGCCACAGGAAGAGGAGGAGGTCCTGGAAGGCACTGAAGCTAAAGCTCCAAACTATCGTGGATCAGAGGATCTGCCACCAATTAGTCACCTTGCTAGTCAGAAGGGAGCCGGCTGGGGGGAGAGGCGGGGTGAAATCGGGTGGGGGAGCGGAAGTTCTTTCGCCTGATGAATCTCAGCCATCCTCGTTGGCTGTGTGGCGGGCTTCTGGAAGATCAAGTATGGTAAAGGGGGTTGGGTCCGGAGGGAAACCAGGAGGAGGGAAGAATCCAGAGAGGATGGTGAAGACTGTCTCATCTGGTGAAATCCGGCCACTGGAACCACCGGACAATCAGCCCTCCAATACCTTTAACGTAAGAAGTTTTGGACAATGGGCACTGGAGGAAATCGGAGGAGAGACTGATCCTAAAGACTCAGTTAAGGCTGGGTCTGAGGGTGAAAGCCTGCCACGGTCTTCATCCAAGAGTCCATTCAAAATGTCCATTGATTAAGAAACCTGGTGAGGCTGCTACAAATAAATCTATACCACAGCATGGCTACACCATTATGGCTAGTGGGGTGTTCCTAAAATACCTCAAAGGTGAGGATATTGATATCATATTAATTCAAGAAGCTTACTTAAACAATAATAAGATCAGTGGGTTGGGAATTAATGGCTATGGAATAATTTCTGTGGCCACCAACCCCAGAGCCTGTATTCTATATAAAAAATCACTAAAACTATTGCCTCTTTGGCAATTTTGTTCTAGGGACTGGGCAGGACAAAAGGACACTGACCGTAGTGGCGGGTTACCTGCCATATGAGTCGGGAGTCCCAGCTCAAGACATGGAAAAAATTCTAATCTCCAGCAATGAAAATACCCTGATGGGACTGGACGCTAATGCTCACAACATCATATGGGGCAGTTCAAACAACAACCCTAGAGGTGAGATATTACTGGATATTATTATTAGTAATAACTTACAGATACTAAATAGGGGAAATAAACCTACCTTCTTTAATAAATTAAGATCAGAGGTCATAGATATAACGCTGGCCTCTAGTCAGGTCGTGTCGAAAATACAAAACTGGCATGTACTGGATGCAGAAACCTGTTCAGACCATAAGTATATCAGATTCATTTGGTCTGACAATAACAAAACCATAGAGATCTATAGAAATCCTAAATCTACGGACTGGAAAAATTCCTATCTTATTTAGAAGAGGCAATTAGTTATTGTCCAAAAAAAAATAGACAACACCTGGCAGTTAGAATGACTAAATTCATCTTTAACAGAAGCAATTAGGAACTCATATTTGAGAAGTAATGATATCAAAACCAACATATCCAGAAGAAGGGTATCCTGGTGGAACAAGGACTTAGAGCGAAGTCCTTAGGAGGAAGTGAGGCAAAGGACACTCACTAGAAGGTTGTTCAATGTCGCAAAAAAACATGGTAATTGGGAGGTTTACAGGACAGCCCTCACAGAATATCATAAATCTGTGAGGAAAGCGAAAAGACGGTCCTGGAGGAACTTCTGCCAGGAAATTGACAGCACTCCTATGGCAAGTAGGATCAAAAAAATACTTACTAAACAGAAAGACCAAGGAATGCTGGGTACACTCGGGGTTGATGGCAAATACACAAGTAATGAGCTGGAAACCCTTAGAGAACTAGCAATAGCACACTTTCCTGGATGTGAGACCATGGAAAATGCATGTATAGATACTATAATCCCTAGCAATACATCTAATCAAGATGGCTGGATTAAGGCTAGAAAAATCATTACGGTGAATAGACTGGAATGGGCTGTAAATACATTGTCTCCCTACAAATCGGCTGGATTGGATCCTTACCAGTACTGAT